ATTCCACCTGAAAATACTCTCCTCACCATATTGGCAGTTTTTTTTTTTTTAATGATTTTATTTGAGAGACACAGAGAACAAGCAGTGGGGAGGGGCAGAAGGAGAGAGAGAGAGAGAGAGAGAGAGAGAGAGAGAAGCAGACTCCCTACTGAGCAGGGAGCCTGACACAGGGCTCGATCCCAGGACCCGGGGATCACCTGAGCTGAAGGCAGACGACGCTTAACTGACTGAGCCACCCAGGCGCCCCCATATCGGCGGTTCTTAGGGTTGTCTTTGGGTCCTGTTTTCCCAGAGGTCTTTGTGGTGGGTGCCACAAATTATATTTGCTATGCTCAGTATCCTACGCTGATCTGCCCGCTGGTTGTGAAGAGGGCTGTTAGCTCCCGACTTGCAGGCGCAGAGAGTATGAAATGTAAAGGGGATAAAAAAGCACATGCTTAGATTTATTTTTATGAGATGATCTTTGACTAGAGAATGTTGGGCAAAGCTACAAAGGCAAAGGTATTTTCAAATCAAGACCAGTAAGAACACGATCTCTCGACTATCCCGTAACTGTATAGTTTTCTCTAAACTACCTTTTAAAAACTTCGTCAAAAGAGCAGTTGTGCTTTCTCCGCTTACCACTTAAAACTCGCAACGTCACTCTATTTTATTTTACATAAAAAAATGTTTATGTAGCGCTTTCCCCCCGGAGACCCCAAGAACCGCAGAGAGAGTCCTTTATAGCCTAGTAAGAGCAGAACTTACAGAGTCCATTACATCATGCATGATAAAGTCCCTGGAACAGATTTTCTTTGAAGTGTTTGGGTGAAGAAGATCATTGTATGCACCCTTTCCAAATAAAAAGATAAAATGACACTCGGCTAGTAATGGTGGCTGAGCTTCATAGCATGGCGTGGTACCGTGCTCTGCTTGAAAGAGACCGTCCCATGGGCTTGTCCCAGGGCCTTTTGGAGATTCTGGGGGGCAGGCAGGATGACGCAGTTTTCGTTTGAGCAGATCCAGTGTGGAGCAGACCGTGCAGCCAACCACATGCTGGATTCCTTTTGAAGTTCTGAGGGAGGAAGGGCTGTAAATTAAGTCCAGTTAGTACTTTATTTTCCTTCCCGTTTATTATTTTAAACAAGTAAACAGGGACAAAACCTCACCACTCTTCGGTGGTCTTGGCGCCGCCCCCCCCTCCCCCCCGAGATGGCTTCCCCGCATCCTGATGCGTTCTGTGTGTTCCTCACCCCCCCACACCCCCGGTGGTTCGTGAGGCCCGGGTCGAGGAGGCAGTCAGAATGAGGCAGAGGATGTAGTGGAAGCAGCAGGCTGGGGCCATGGGCTCGGGGCTGCCTCAGGGCTTCGTGAAACGTGGGCTTCATTTTAAATATTTAAAGTTTCAAACTGGTAAAGAGGATGGATTGAATCTAGGCAATTGGACACTGTGGTGGGGGGCAGAGGAACAAAGTGAACGAAGCCTTGAGGAAAATACGATATGGAGTGTGAGTGTGGGAAGCCATTTGGGGAATAAAACATTGGAGAGAGGGCGGTGTTGGTGAAAGGGGTCTGAGGCGATGAGTCCGGGCATTCCGTTTAGCTCAGTGAACATTTAGTAAGTGCCCGTCTGGGCTAGGCAAGTGTGCACACACTGGGGATTCAAAGAAGATGCTGTTTTGCCCTTGGGGCTCTCAGTCTAGCAGGGTGCCAGTCAGTGAAGCATATCATTGCAACATAATTTAGTGAATCCAGAGCAAATGATATTCCAGAGTGTTGTGGAAGACAAAATGGGAAGTTTGGCCTCCTGTGTAGCCGTGGAAGACTTCCTGCAGGAGGGCTGCCTGGATTGCTTCTTGAAGAGCGAGGAGTGAATCAGGAGAGTAATGGAGAAGGGAATGCCAGGCCAAAGGTCCGCGTGAGCGAAGGCAGCGTGAAACACCGTGGTGCCGCCTGGCAGCTTGATTTTTCAGGCACACGGTGTGCGGGTGAGCGAGGGAGGACACATCGGGCTGTCTTCTCCCTTCCCTGGACCGCTGCAAAAGCTGTCCGTTTTTCCCTTCCTCAGATGCGTCTTCCATACGAAGTCGGAGTGTATGCATCTATAAAGCAGATCTGATCCTGTGATTGCCCTGTTTAAAAATCCTTTAAGTGGCTTCTACTGCTTGTAAGATAAAAGCCCCTGACCCTCTCCTACCTTTATCTAGCAGTGCCAAATTTCCCTCAGGTTCCACCCCTTTCTTTGGTTTTTTTCTTCAGGCTGAGAAGTCCCATTTAGGCCACACATCATGTACAGACATGCCAGGTACCCCCTGGCCTTCACTGGGCTCATCCCTCCTCATCCGTGATGAACGGTTTAGGGGTTACTTCCTCCAGGGAGCTGACCTTGACGTCCCTCCTGCCCACTCCCGCAGGGACCTCTTTATACCCCCTAATTCTTGGGGTCTCTGTCACTGCCCTCAGCTCATTGTTTTCTAATTATCCCCTTGTGTCTAAGGCTGCTCCTCGTCTGAAATATGAACTCCTAAAGGATCTGTAACTTTTCCATTTCTGTATCCCCGGTGCTTTGCCTGAAGTAGTGTGGGAGTGGACCTGTGTCTCCCGTCCTCTTTGCTGTGGCACACTGGGCTCTCCTCTGTGTGGGCCATGTCTCCTGTCCTCTTTGCTGTGGCACACTGGGCCCCTGTGTGGGTCCCACCCCAGCTCAACGCCAGCTCTGGGCTTCTTTCCTTCAGGCCTTCCCTTTTTCATTCCCACCTAACATATCCTCTCTCTGGCCTCACTCGCCATCC